AATATGGTTTATTCACGCACACAATTAAAGATCGAGGAGAGCGATATGGCTTTCGGTAGTTTCAGCTGTCGAAAGACAGGGCGGTTCGCACACGACACAGCGAAAATCTTCTCGCGTTAATCAACGGAGATCTTCGAGAATACGGCAACGAAATCGGAAATCTTATTATGACAAATGCGGCAACGATTACTAATTTCGTTCGGAATACGAAACGACGGTAAAGGCGATGCCGGAATGGAAAACGCTATCGAATTATCTAGCGATCCATGTCAATTAAGAGCAAGAAGCGAACGCGAGTCGTGCGCGACGAACAATGTTCTCTCGTCCTAATTTCGAGGGTCATAGAACTGAGCTACGTCGCGAATTCCGCGGAGCATGTGTTTACTGCGTGTACTCCATGCCAAGTACGCGTGATGTATACTTAGCTCGAACGTGCAATAGGCAATTCGCGAGACAAATATAAAGAATCTATAAATTCCAATTATGCTATTCTTAAACATATCGTCCGCTTCGAATGCATACATTCGAAATGGTTTCTAATACAACAATAACGGTAGCGTAATTTGACAATAGTTTTAATGCGACAATTAGGTACGATATAACATAATATGAATGTGATAAATTAATTTTAAATCGGAAGCTACAATATGTCTAAGTTATGGAGCACTTCCGTTAACGCTCGGTAATCGTCAAGATTCTCGGAAACGGCAGCGATTAAATGAGAATTAAGCGAAGCCTCGACATGACAGAGCATGGACATTTCTCCAAATGTGAGTGTATGAAGGCCAATATATCGTTTGAGATAATGTTTTACACTACGAACATCGGCTTCCCATAGGCCGCCGAAATGCGGTGCTGTAGGAGGTAAAAAATGCCACGCCGTCCTATCAACTGCGAGACGATTTAAAAAATTTGGATTTCGCGAACTGCCTTGCTATATATCTTGGACAATTCTCGATCCGCACCATGAAAGGTAATTTTCTTATCCGAGTACATTGAGCGCGGCAACCCTCGGCGGTAATACGCGGCGAGAAAAGCGGACGAACTATATATCGCTAAGTTTTAAGTGAACGGCCTTGATTATTAAACATACGAATAATGCAATGAAGGCATTCTGCAACTTGTGACCTCGGCCTGGAGCAGTTCGGATCGCAATCGGTCCTGCATAATCAACGCCGCATAAGGCTTGAATTATGCGATTAACTCGAACATCTGATAGATAAAACCATTTGTTCAACAGGCTCTTTCGCGCACATGAAATGCATTTATATAAAACGGAATGAACGGTAGCGCGCGAGCGGAGGATCCGCTCAAAATGCACTCCGTAACGACATGAGCATGAGTTATGATCTGGCAACGTTCTCAAATGATGATGCTCGTTATGAGCGGATGCGAACGGAGAACGATGGGATTCTTCGTCGTCTCCGGGAGATTAACGTGTCGAAGTCTTCCTCCAAACAGAGGAGTCCGTCACTATCCAAATATGGATTGAGAAATGACAGCAAACTATTTTTTGATAGCGAGGACAGGCGAGACAAATATTAGGTGTACAAAAAAGTTCTGAGCTTTAGATTTCATACAACATGAAATAATAATTTAAATTTTATGTATCTTCCCGCTCTTTTGCGGTTTTAAAGCGTTGACATTTGGCCTTCTAAAATGCCATACGGTTTGGTGTTTGATGCACATAACCTCAAAAATCAGTAGTGTTCGATGGCAATAACAAAAGAGCATATTCGATTTTCTATCCACTTCGCGTTTCATTTGAAGAAAAATACTGCTGAAGCCACTGCAATAATTTGTGCTGCATATGGAGAGAACGCTGTAAGTCATACTATATGTAAAAGATGGTACCAAAAATTTCGCCAAGGAGATTTCAGTCTTGAAGATGAACCGCGTGCTGGACGCCCTCAAAAGATTGAAACGGACGAATTGCAAGCACTGCTGGATATAAACTCTGTGCAAACTGAAAAGGAGCTTGCAGAACAGCTTGGCGTTACGCAGCAAACCATTTCTGTATGTTTACATACGATGGGAAAGGTTCAGAAGGAAGGCAGATGGGTTCCGCATGAATTGTCCGAAGACAACAAAAATCGTCAGCGTGACACTGCACTCACTTTGCTTTCAAAGTTCCGGAAAAAAGATTTTCTGCACAAAATCATTACAGGTGATGAAAAGTGGATTCTTTATGATAACCCTAAACGTAGAAAATCATAGATTGACCCTGGTCAACCTTCGACATCGATGTCAAAGCCCAATATCCACGCCAAGAAGGTTTTGCTCTGTATCTGGTGGGATTGGAAAGGTGTGTTGTATTACGAATTGTTACAACCGGGTGAAACAATCACGGCAGACCGCTACCAACAACAATTGACCAATTTGAGCGATGCATTAGAAGAAAAGAGACCATTTACTGGCCAAGGACGTCGTAAAGTGATCTTGCTTCATGACAATGCTCGACCACATGTTGCGAAAGCGACAGGACCATATCTTTGCGTTAGGCTGGGAACTTCTCCCGCACGCGGCGTATAACCCAGACATGGCGCCTTCCGATTACTACCTTTTCGATCGCTGCAGCATCATTTGGCTGATACACATTTCGTGAAATTTGAAGAGCTTTGAAAATGCATTGATGACTTTATCGCTTCGAAGCCGGTGAGCTTCTCTCGTCAAGGAATTTGCAAGCTACCCGAAAGATGGCAAAAGGTCGTTGATGCAAACGGAGAATATTTCGCTGATTAATATGTTTTTGTTTGGTTTTGAATAAAGATTGAATTTTACAAAAAAAAGCTCAGAACTTTTTTGTACACCTAATATAAAGAATCTACGAATTTCAATTATCCTATTCCTAAACAATAAGATATTACTATATTTATTTATTTTATATTCATTGTGTGTTATATTTAATTTTTATTCCGAATTTTCATTTCCAAAATTTAATATTTATTTCTATTCCTAATATTTGCTCCATTGTGCGCAGGCCTTTATTCTTACAGATATTTATTCTGTGATAACATCACACACACACGTACTCATACACGCACACACGCACACACGCATGCACTGTTATATGCGAGAAGCAACGCAATGTTAAGGAATTGAGAAAGTAAGTGTAAAGAGAATGAACTGTCTTGAGATTGGACTTTTATTTAAGATACTTGATGAATCGAAACAAGGATGTTTTCACTTCAAGTTTCTGACAAGAACTGAACTTTATGTACAAGACGGATCTTTATTCAAGATAGGTGATATTTTCGTTAATACAATAACCAATAATGCAACGCGTTTTTTATATGAAACATGGTGATTAGAATGGTTTTTTAAAAAGGAAATAACGTGAGAATTGAAAAATATATTGCGATGATTTGTTTGAAAAGGATTAGTAATAAAATTCGTAATTGGTTGAAGTGAAAGTTTGTCAGGATAATTATAAGGTCTTATTTGTTGAGGAAAAAAGGAAAAGACGTTTAAAATTATTTTAGTATCGGGACACTTAAAATCTACTCGACAAAAAAAAGAAGTAAGAGAAAAAAGGGGTTCTCGAATACCGAGTTGCGGCATGTAACAACACGCATACACGGAAGAGAGAGTGTGAAAGAAAGAGAGAAAGAAGAGTAGAGAGAGGAGAAAGAGAAGGGAGGAATTAATTAAGGTGGTTGCGGCAGCAATAGCTTATTTTCTATTTTCGATGATCTGTAGAATTCATTCGGCTGGCCTAGAATTCTGGACTTTGCTATATGCAAATCTAGTACCTGTTGAAGGAGTTAGGTGTCCTACTGCTCGTACTGGATTCCGAGCTTACTTTTAACTAAAATCTGAGACATCTCTGCGAGATAGTTTACTATCCGAGTGTAATTGTCCTCTCGAGCTATTTAAGAAATGAATTTTTGAAATAAAGAGATAAGAGCATTGAAGAGTGTCGCCGCTGCGGTCCGACTTGCATCCATCGAGAGAATAGGACCATCATGTCTTTAGAGTACCGGTCGGAAGGATTCGAGAATATACATGTGTGTGTGTGTGTGTGTGTGTGTGTGTGTGTGTGTGTGTGTGTGTGTGTGTGTGTGTGTGTGTGTGTGTGTGTGTGTGTGTGTGTGTGTGTGTGTGTGTGTGTGTGTGTGTGTGTGTGTGTGTGTGTGTGTGTGTGTGTGTGTGTGTGTGTGTGTGTGTGTGTGTGTGTGTGTGGTGTGTGTGTGTGTGTGTGTGTGTGTGTGTGTGTATCATTGAATTGTGACGTGTTATTCTAAACACGTTATTTGCGATAAATATCATCACATGCTTCTGTAGTCGAAAGGATAAGATGCCTGCCCGGTAAACAGGAGATCCAGGTTCGATTCCTGGCTGAAGTGATATTTTTCGCAAAATAATTGCGGATTTTTACGACTGGTTCGTGGTCGGGCCCCGTCATAGCACACGCCCTCCCTTCTTATCCTCTTTTTAAAACTTAGACTTAACTAAGATCACCAAGTATAATTATAAAGATAATAAAATGGATCAATGAATAAAATTTGGGCAGTAAGAACTTTTTATCAGGATTACACAAATTATAAATTTCCAAAGTTTCAACCAAACCTGTCGAGACCTATTTTCCAAAAGATTTGGACGAGGTCTTTTTACGCATAGTTAGTAAATAAAATATATAAGGCAACATTTAAGAATAAATAGGTACTAACAGATAGGCATACAAGCATGCATTATTATACATTTGATAAATCCAGTTTTAGTCTTATTGAGATCTATATCTAAGATAACATATAAAAATATTCTAAATTTTGAAAAACGAAGCAAAGATGAAGTTTTCTAAGAAAAGATTTTATACTCAATAAAACTTCTCTTATATACTTTATTAAAAACTTTTTAACAATGTTGATCAAAGTCTTTTAACAAATTTTAACTATATTTGAATTGCAGAGAAATGGTTCAAAAAGGATCAAAAGTAGTCATTCTCTTTGTACTGAGTGTGCATCTTTGATGATATATTGCTACATTATAACGTATTTTAGGTTGAAGTGGAAAGAAGAAAAGAATCGATTACGGATTCACCACCGCAACAAATTGTAACAATTAATAGACTATCATCTCCAATGTCAATAAATGGACTGAATACTGCTGACAAACCAAGAAAAGGATTACCATCATTTATCTGGGTTATAGGTATACTTTATTAACTGTGTGTACGTGCAAGCGCGCACATGTATACATGTTGAAATTCTAGAAAACATTCGTTCAATGTTTTTTCTATTACTTTTCTCATTTTGTGATAATGATAAATATAATAGAAACAGTTAGCTTTTTCATATTATATGACATTTTGTTTAATAATGCATATAATATTATCATATTAGGTGGACCAGGAAGTAATAAAACAACACTTTGTACTCAAGCTGTTCGTAATATGTCAGGTTGGCTGCATATAAGTATTGGAGAATTGTTAAGAACAATGGCATCATCTAATGTGATTGTAAATGACGCAATTGTTTCGGGTGAAATGGTTTCTCATGATATTGTAATACAACTTGTAGAACAACAGATTCTATTAAATCGAGATTCAGATGGTATTGTCATAGATGGATATCCAAGAGACTTAAATCAAGTACAGGAATTTGAGAGTAAGGTAAAATGCATCATATCTTAAAATCGCAAATTAAATTAATCAATAATTTGATTAATTTTATAACTTTTTATCTGTATCTATTAATTTTATAATTTATTGTGTATATTTCTATCATCGTTTAATATTAATAATTTATTATTGAATTGCGTTATATTAATTATTAACAGTTTGGTCAAAAACCACCATTGATATTACTTGACTGTTCTAAATTGCAACTCGGAAGAGGAAGACTGGACGACAGTGTTTCAGCATTTAGAAAAAGATTGGAGCTTTTTCGCGAAATTTCTCTTCCTATGTTGAAAACACTGGACAGCGATAATCGATTAACAATTGTACGTATTAAATAATTGAATAAGGCATAAGAGAGATGAAGCATAATCCAATATTGAAATAAATATTTCAAAATATCAATTGTAAAAACAGACGTAAATCAAGCAAGTAAATGTAAACAAACACGAATAAATAACTTGCTTCAATACGAATACATATTATGAAATATTCGCTAATATAAATGAGTCTAAATATATATCGATAAATACATATATTTTATATATTGTTATAAATACATGTATTTTATATATTTCTTTTTCGAAAAAAAAACCATTCGCTGTACTCGTTAATATTTCTATAAATGTTCATTTATAATTGTTTGTTGATTATATGATTGTATGATTGATTTATCCTTAGTTGGTGTTAATTTTATAGTTTGTTTGAAGAAATCTAACTTATGAAAAGAAAAATTCATGGTATATTATAAAAAATTTATTTTTTCGTGTTACATTTACTGTATTTAAATAATTAGTATCAAATTATAAATTATTAATTATAAATAATTAGTATCAAATTTATTTAGAATCAATTAAATATCCACATTAAATAAGTATTTTGGAAAATGTTAAAAAATGTATTAAAAAAAATATGTTAAAAATATGTTAAAAAAGTTGAAATTATTTTGTTTTTCAGAAACATTGCATAAAATCAGTTATTTTATATAAAATTTTTCAATTTAAACTTATAAAAGTTTATTTTTAGAAAATGTAATGAAAAGGTATAAATGTTTTTTATAAGCATACAAACAAATTTTTATATTTATAGTATTAGAATTAGATAACTTTTCTATTTATTAAATATACAAATTAAATAATTCTTTTTTATACTGAAGATTATATTTGTGATCATATGCATAAAGATATTAGGTTGTTGAAAAAGTTCGTGCCGTTTCTCCGATAAATGGCCTTTTTTTTTATCAAAGGCAGGGGAAATGCATTTACGCACACCTAGGGAGCAACCGTTCCCCCTAGGTAGTGTGGGACTCCGTTAAGCGGAAATACCCACTAAAACCTCTCCTTACATACACATGACATCACGACATTAAACCGATAAATGGCCTTGGCAATATAAATAATAATGATATGAAGTAAATTGATATAACTTTTATATATCATTTGAAAGAGGACATTGTGCTTAACATTTTAAAATATTTTGATTGCACAGAGTTGCGTTGTGTGTATTGCAATCATGTAAAGATGGACTATAAAAAAGAACATTTTCGGCACATTTTATTATACGTATTATCATCAGAAAGGCAAAAACGCTGCGGATGCTCGTCGAAAGACATGTACTATGTATGGGGAAAATGCCATTAGTGAATATACAAATCGAAAGTGATACGCGTGTTTCCATTTGGGAAATTTGAATGTGACCGATGCTGCTCATTTTAGATGATCATCTAAAATGGATGTCGATGATCAATTCTTGGTGTCGAATGATATCATGCGAGAGATCACAGAACGTTTAAATATACACCATTCAACCGTCGCCGACCACTTGAAACGCTTAGAGATGGTGAACAAGACCGATGTTTGGGTGCCATAACATAAGTTGACTGAGCGGAATCTCATCGAATTTTCACATGTGACTTGTTGCTAAAGCGTTACCAATCCGATAATTTCCTGAAGCGCATGGTTACTGGGAATAAGAAATGAATTTTATACGAAATTGTCCTGCGAAAACGGTCATGGCAAACATGTGACGAGCCGGCCCAAACCATGGCCAAAGCTGGTTTGCATCCGAAAAAGTGCTATTATCGATTTGGTGGGATTATCATGGAGTAATTTATTACGAGCTGCACCCGCAAGATCAGACTGTAATTCTTATAAATACTGTGTCCAATTAGAGAAATTGAAGCGCGTTATTGCAGAAAAGCGGCCGGCATTGCTGAACAGAAAAGGTGTTGCGTTTCATCATGATAACGTGAAACCACATACATCTTTACAGACTCGTCAAAAACTTTTATGCTTAGGTTGGAATGTTTTGCCATATCCACCACATTTTCCCGATATTGCTCCATCGGATACGCATTTGTTTCGCACTTTACAGAATAATCTTCAGGGAAAATCATTCACTTCTGTAGAGAACGTCAAAAAGCACCTGGACAACTTTTTTGCTCAGAAGTTCCAGAAGTTTTATCAGAAGGGAATTATGGAATTGCCGGCACGATGGCAACAAATCATCGATCAAAATGGAGAATATATCATGGATTGAATAAACGTTTCAATGTCTCAATTTGATGTCTAATTTTCACTTCCAAACGACACAAACTTTTCCGACAACCTAATATTTTTATTTTGTATATTTATAATCAAATGTAAAATAGTTGAAAAACTGCTACGAAAAGATAAAGATGATGTATATAAAAGTGTAAAATAACGTTTAGGTATACAATAAACATTAATATACAAAAACATTAAGGAAATAAAAAGAAGATTTATCTAAAACACAAGGTAGCCCAAACAAAACAGTTTATATATATTTTTTCGAAATATATTAAAAATAATAAAATTCATCAGATCATAAAATTTTTTTTTTAGATATTTCCTTTTATACCTATTGATTCATCTTACTATTCGATATAAAGAAGTAAGATAATATAAAAAATGAATATTTTAGAATATATTTTATATTTTATTAAAAATGTGCTTAAATAAAATACAAAATAATTTCTACATTAACAATTTCTAAGTAGAGTTTTCTAATAGTTTTTAGAACAAAAAAAGAAACATTGATCAATACACTAAAAAATATAAATATTTCATTTAAAATAAAATTATCTACTGTTGTTTTTCTAGAAATCTAGTAGAAATGTCTTATAGATATAAAAAGATCTCAATGAATTTTCAAATATCCACAAACATTTTTGTCATTATTTCTAATAGGTTTCAAAAGATAGCTAGTAGCATTTTTTTAAGCTATTTTTTTAAAACAGTTTCATTTTTTGGAAAATACATTATAGTTAACACGTCATAATTATAATATATTTTTATAATAATAATAATTGTAAATTGTAAATTGTTAATTGTAAATTTCAAATCTTGTGAAATAAATATGTATTTTCTTAATACTGATTGATTTACCTTATTGTTCTGTTACATTCCAAATAGGTGGATGGCGATACAGATGTATCTAGTGTACAGCAGGATTTTGCTATTGCATTGTATCAATTAATGCATCTAACGCGCCGCAAAGAAGAACAAAGTCTACATAATCTAGATTCATCATTAATCAACGGTAACTCAAACAAAATACAGGCTCCGAATGAATATCAAAATGAACATGCTATTCCTAATGGCCTTGCTAAACCAATGGCCAACACTACGTCCAATCATATTGTAATTGATACAAAGAAGAACGGAATTATTTCTCGAGGTAATGTAAATAATTATTACAATTATTTAGCATATAAGATATATCTTTTTATTTCCAGATTTCTATTTTGTTTATTTAAAATCTTCTTTTTTTTAATTTGGAGTTAATTTTTCACTTTAAATCTCAAACTAGATTTCTTTTTTTATATTATTATTCTACTCTTCATATTTGTCATATGTAATCAAA